CTGATCCTGCTTGTAAATCTGCTTGGCCAGTGAAACCTAAAGCTTCAAGGCCCTACGTCCTAAATACTTGACGCTCGAGTACTCCAAGCCCTCATCCACAACTACCCTAACTAGGACTTAAATTCGACGGATGCACCTCAGCAAGCCGTGTAGCACGACCCGTGAACTCCCGATTGGGAGTCCTACCCGGCGGTGGTCGTCCAAGTCCCGCACCAATCCCGACGCTAAGCCTAAAGCCAAGGACCGTGGACTCCTAGTGTCCTTAGCTTCTTTCAGCCTAGCACGAAGCAGGGATAGCAGCCATGGGAAAGCGAGGCAAAGGCAAAGGGAAACTCTCCAAGCGATCTGAGAGCGAACAGCAACATGCCCGAGCAGTAAATGCGGCAAGGGCAGCAGAAGGCCTCTCCAACAAGTCAACCCCTCGGCGAAATGTACGAAGCCGTCGCATAGCACAACTCAGCGGACCTCGCATTCTGTGCCACTGTGATCGACGAGGGACCCACGGCCTAACGGTAAGTAGTAGGGGTTACTAAAGACTCGATTTGGTATTTCATGTAATGACAGAAGCCATGATCAGTCAAACATGACTCCGGCTTGAAAGAAGGGTCATTGGTGCAGTAACCTCAGTTCGGAATTTATAACCGAAGCACTAGCCTCTTGACTGGTCCCCTGATCCTTCAAGTACAAGCTAGAAGGGTACTAATTATACGGGGCTAAATAATCATCCCTTCCCCCTGACCAGAACATTAATCGGGACGCTTGGGTATGAGTCGAACTGATAGTAATAATGAGCCAGACGCAAAGACTGCCCATCACGCAGCCGTTCCGGCTGTAGAGCAGACAGTCCCGCCCTAAACCCTAAAGCCCCAAAGCCCTACAGCCCCAAAGCTTAAGCCCTGAACCCCTAAACCTCTGGTCTCTTCGGTTGGATCAGTATTGCTGTAGTCTTTGGCTCCATTAAAACTAATACAATCCAGGCCCCCCGCCCCAATGTTTTTAATGCACTTTCAATTGTGGGCCCGAAGCCACCGCGAGATTCGGGGGGCCGGGAGTTTTTGTATTCGGGGGGTGGGTTCAATGTTCGTGGGAAGGGATGAATTAGTAATACTATTTTGGGTGTTCTTTATCATACGTATAGTATAATCGGCCCCAAAACCCTACTCTAACATTAAGGCCCCTCAAGTAGCCCAGCGAGTGTCGGGGAGCCTTGTGCGCCTGCAGTAGAAGCCCAAAAGTTGGAAACCCAATCTAATGTACAGGGACTCCCAGCGCTATTTGGCGTTAATCCGGTTTCCAACTTTATGGGGCTTGCTCTACCCATCCTAAACCCTAAACCCTGAACCCTAAACCCTAAACCCTAAATCGTAGAGCTCTTTTTTAAACCTAAACTCTTCGCACTCAGAGGCCCGTTCCGTGGCCCGGCGCACTGCCGAGAACGATCCTGCAAGGAACCCAGGGGGAAGGCTTTGGAGTTTCGGGAAAGGGCCTGCCTTTTTCCGGTTCCTTACTATGGTTTCCATATATAGTTCCTTAAAAAGGTACGTCTTTTTGGCTACAGGTAACCATGGAGTCATACTCCGAGGATCATGGGACTTAGCAAGTAAGGTTTTAAGTACCTTAGTTGGGGTTATAAGTATAGTTACCTTACTTATAACCCTAGTTGCTAAGTCCCATGATCCTTTAAGTACCCCAACACTTGAATTTCGTCTTAGGGTTCTGGCAGGCTAAGGTGGGCACTAGGGTTTCAATGTTTAGAGTGGTGAGTTAGTGTTTATAGATGGGGGTTTGGAGATTAGGTTACAGCCCTAAACCCCACACCCTACTTGTAGGTTTTGCTGTGAAGCCTTGAGCTCAGATTGGAAGGGTCATCTGGTCGGCTTAGAGCACGTAGGGTGCACAGGGCTTGCGCTTGCAGGGCTTGAAATACTAGGAAGCCCAAAACGCTCAGGGTTTGGGCTTTTGGCTTTGGGTTTAGGCTAAGGGCTTTACAGAACAGGGAGCCCTAAACCCTTTAGGGTTTGGGCTTTACGGTTTGGGTCTAGTGTTTCAGTTTGTGGAAGCAGGCAAAGTTCCACCATGTCGGGGGCTTTACTGCGCGACTATTTCGGGTTTGGGGTTGTGGAGCTTACGGTCTACCTGCATCCCCAAAATCCTGCAAAATGGCGGCGTTTTGGGTCAAGGAGTAGAAGTCTAATAATTACTGGAATAATGAGTAGGGAGCCGGTGCCATGAGCTTCGTTTTGGCATGTTGCAGCCGGAATGCGACATTCGCCCAGAGAGGCAGGTTCTAGGAGGGTCCAGGCTTCATCGTCGAGTTCAGGGTTGTGGGCTTACCATGCAATTGAGAGACTAACCTCAAGCCCGAAGTCTAAAGCGCTAAACTTACTACTTTAAGCCATAGCGTAGAGTTGCAATCTGGGCAGTGAGCACCCATTTCGAGTCGATTGGCCGGAACTCGTCAAAGAGCTTCCCCCGAAATGTCCAAGCGATTTGTGAGGCACAAGGGGCCCAGGATTTGGGTTGGGGTTCGGGGTTTAAGTTTTAGGTTTTACGGTTTTGGGTTTCGGGTTTATGTTATGCTGTATAGTAAGGGGCAAAATCCTGAACTAGTATAGTCGATCACAGCCCTTTCAGAAGGCATCATGTCCGAGCTGAAGAAGAGCTTGGAAGAAAGCTTCGTGGAGACTTTCGGAGGATGACCAGAAAGCGGCCGTCAAAAGTTGGTTTCGCCCCCTGGCCCATCAACTTCCGAGATCTTGAAGGAAGATGTGCAGCAGGGATGGAAGGAAGCGCCATCGAGTGGAGGCGCCGGCAAGCGAGCCGATTGGTACCACGACTCTCAAGCCTCTGAGATACGGGTCGAAGAAATGGCAACATTCTCCCTGTGCGGTCCACACTGCAGTCATCGTCAATGTTTCCATTATATACTGTAGCCTATTTTAAATTTCAATATGCTTTATTTACTATATCATACATACCAGACTTTTCTATACTCAGTTACTATAATGATCATATAATACGCCAGGGGTCTGTATTCGACTTCAGGCATAGCACTGGAAGTGACACTTCACCGCGCTTTGCCGCCTGAGGTCGCTTTTTGTCCCCCTCCGACATCATACAGTCCAGAGGCACGTCTCGTATGGCCATGGGTTTAAGGCTTAGGGTGTGGCGTGGAACAGCGCCTAGTTGACAGTATTGTGTGAAAAGGCGTACTCTTGCGTTGAGCCCCCCAGTAGCTTCTAGAGGCACAAGTTTCTAGCAATCATGGATTTCTCAGGTCTTCAACTAGGACCGGTCTGGATCGCCCCGGGTCCCTGCAGTTTGCGAGCTGGTCTTCAGGTCCCCAAACCAGCTCGTTCTGGCACAGCTTTGAGAGGTTTCGTGATTTTGTTTTGCAGGGGTTTCCTAAGCCGACACAGTAGACCTTACACCCTAAACTCTAGCCCTAAACCTCAAGCGTCTTTTTCGCCGGAGCTCATGCAAGGCCGACGACCTCGACTATTGGCAATACCCTGAGCTCGCTGCCCAGGGTTACATGTGCTGAGCATATAGAGGGGCTTAAATAATTACCAGTGCTATTTTTGGGCTTAGTATAATGGGCCCCAAAACCCTTTTCCATCAAGGCCCCGATATTACATGTGCTGAGCTACGCTTGTGTCCCATTAGGGGCTTTTGGGATCCTTTAGGGCTAGAGTTTAGGGTGTAAGTTCCCTATCAGCATCTCGGGGCAGCGGGTGGTATTGCGGTGGTACCGAGGGATGAGCTCCCCACAGTAGTCGCGAGGGTTGGTTTCACGGGCCACCCGACGGCGGTTGTTGTGGTGCAGAATCCGGATGAGCTTGGATTGCGAGGATACCCGAGGAGCATTGTTTCATTTACTCTGTCAGTTGCAGGTGCGGATGGATCCAGGGAGTGCATTCTCGCGAAGCGGTGGTTGGTCCAGTTGGGATTTGGGGAACAGGTGTGTCGCGTTGTGGAGGGTGAACAGATCACGATTGAACAGAAAATGAAGAAGATGACGGCTAGGTTTTCAAAGCGGCGGGGCTGGGATGATGGTGAGATTCCGGCGAGTGTCATGATGCACCATTTGGAGCAGCTTATTCCTGACATGGCGGTCGATCAACTCCAGAGTCGCATGAATGGTTCTTTCGCGTTTTACTGCCATGAAGAGTTCATTGACGACGTTTTGCGCTCGTCTGGAAAGAGTGGGATCTTTATTAAGTGTCAATCTGATGATGTTGCTCCCCTTGAGCTCCTATGGCTTCCCGATACTATGTCTTTGAATGATGCGCTCAACCTGACGAAGGACAAACGGGTGTTTGGGTTGGCTGAAAAAGGGATGAGCGGGAGATTGGCATTGCGGTTTAAAACGAATGATGCGCTGTCCAACTTCGCCAAGGAGTACAAGTATGATGATACATCGCATTTGGCCAGGTGGAAGGTCTCGGGATACCCACTCAACGGGGGACTGCATGGGCTCAGCTTGCTCTTGAGCAGTCGTAAGTGGCAGAATGTGAGTGTGTTGTACATGGATTCCAAGGAGGCCGTGTTTCATTCGTCCAATCGTGGGAGTGATTTGCCCTTGTATTATGTTGAGGCTGGACAGGGCCAACAGGTCAAGTTCAAGGCGCTCAATGCGGTTGCGAGGGGCATGCAGCGTCAGGAGAGGGAGTCGAGTACGTCGGGGAGGGGTATATTTCCAGTGCTTCGTGAGCCACGTGAGGTGCGTCAGCGGGCTTTTCTTCAGCGCCTCAACACTGAGCAAGGACCTTCTACTCCTCCGGGGGGGCAAGTCAGGCAGCGGGATGGTGGCCACACCGGTGAAACGCCTCCACCCAAGGAGCGCAAGGAGGGTCTGTAAGCGAGGGGATGAGGTACAGGTTTCACAATGTTGCCGCACGGCGGCTGCCAGGTTACACGCACTACGAGGGCGCATTACTTTCAAGATGATTGTATGGTGGGCCTTTCTCTTTTTGCTTGCATTGGGCAGAAATCGTGCTATGCATGCAGTTAATGGTAATTCAGTCGCGGACCATTCTGTCTTTGCTGTGGCGGCGATCAACTCCAATGGTGTTAGTGCGCCGGGCAAGTGGATGAATCTCTGCGGTATGCATGAGGATGTGGTTGCCATTTGTGAAACACATGCAACTGCTAAAACACAGAAAGCACTGAACGATACGGATGAAAAGCGTCAAGTTTTCTGGGGAGCTCCGGTGGTTTCCACATCTCGGTGTGGCGTAGCCTTCCTCGTGAAGAAGTCCTGCAACTGGGCGGTGCGGCCTCTTGCTTTTCAGGGGCCTTGTTCGGCACATTATCGTGGGGGTCGATTACATGCTATACAGTTATTCCGTGGCAAAGGGAAAAGATCGTGCATTGTGTATTGCGTCTATGGACATGCTGGTGCCAGGTGGGAGAGTTCCAAGCGTGAGATGTTGCATGCTATGTTACGTGACATATTTCAGGATGCTGTGACGCGTGGGGGAGTGCCGATTATGATAGTTGGAGACTACAACATTGAGATTGCGGAGAGCACATATCTACAAAGTTGTATTGCGTGCGATTGGATCGATGCGTCACGTTGGTGTCGTCAGGACGCTCAGAGTATGCTTACTTCGCTTAAAGGGGGAGGATCCCGGATTGATATGTGTATCATGAACCAGAGTGCTGCAAGTCTGTGTGCGGATTGTCGAATCTGTGATGCTGTTGTGCGGACGGACCATCGTGTCGTCACTGTTGTTTTCAGGTGGCCTTTGGCGGCTCAGACGCGCTACCTTGTTAAGCATGTGGGGCTTAAAGGACGATACAAAGATCCACCGCAACAGTATTTACCGCCTCCGGTCTCTTCGTTTGATGTGCGACAGTTGCTTGCACGGCATGAGCTCCACGAGGCTTTTGGTGTGTGGTGTCGTGATGCTGAAAAGTTACTTCTTAGCATTCCTATGGTGGTTGACGGCGTTGACACTTTTGATGAGGGGCATGGTCGAGGCAAGGTGCGTTTTCAGAAGTTATGTCGTTACCCCGCTGTTGCGCAAGAGACGGCTATGACCCTTAGGATGCGGCAGCTTGCTTCCGCGATTCGTCGTTCGGAGGAGTTGATGCTCATGAGTGCGTTTGGGTACCGGGCAGAACAGACATGGCGGAATATTCGGAAGGTTAGGCCCTATCTTGATGCTACAGTGCGTCCCGCATTTGATGAACATTTCTGGAAAGGGCTTACGCGGGAGAATGTGAAGGCAGTTTTGGTGGTTCTGAAGGAGCACTACCAACGGGTCCAGACGGAGTGCAAGAATGCAAGGTTGAAAGCGTGGAAGCGAAGGATGTGGGCGTCGGATCGTGAAGCTCATCGTTGGTTGCGTGGAGGGGGTAAGCCTTTGACTACGGTTATGCAGATGCCTGATGGGGTTTTTTCTGCCAATGCAGAACAACAGCTCAAGGCTATTTTGGATGCGTGGAAGCCCATATTTGGAAAATTCAAGAATCGTGAACCCCGTGTTGACAGGTTCTTCGAATTCTTTGGGAGTGGCATGCGTCGTTCGCCTATGGATCTGCAGGATATAACGGGTGAGAGGCTGGTTGAAGCTGCACTTCGTACGAAGGCTAGTTCAGCAGGATTGGATCAATTCCGCCCGGAGGCTTTAACTGCGCTTGCTAGGTGGTACCCCCAGGTCTTTGAAGCCCTGGCTCTTATCCTGAATTACACTGAGATGAATGGGGTATGGCCTGATGAAGTCAGTCTTGCATATACAGCATTGGTACCCAAAGATGAGACGCAGCCTGAGGCACAACCCACCGCTTATCGACCGATTTCGGTTCTCAGTGCTGTGTATCGCTTATGGAGCAAGGTGCGGTTTGATGACGCGTTATGCTGGCAAGAGGGCTGGATCGATGGGAATGCGTGGGGATGTAGGCCACGTCGCGGAGCAGACAGCCTCGCTATGTCAATTTCGTTGCGTCTGGAGAGTGAGGCTTCGCGTGGGCGATCGGTGGGAGGTGTGGCGTATGATTGTCGCAAGGCTTTTGATCTGATACCAGTACCGCTACTTCTTGAAGCCATGCGGAGAAGGGGATGTTCGGAGAGGATCCTCGCGCCCTTGAGTTGGATGTATGATCACTTGCAGCGTTGCTTTCGCCTTCGTGGTAACTGCGGGGAGTGGTGGCGCAGTGACAACGGCTTGATACAAGGTGACGCTTTGTCGATGATTGGTTTGAACTGTGTGGTCACGGTCCTTCTCGAGTACACAAGGCAGCATATCCCACAGGTGGTTGCGTCGTCGTACGCGGATGATGTGTCTGGTGTGGCGTCTTCTACTTCTACGGAAGGTCTTCGCGATGCTGTTCGCCGCTTTCACAGGGTTATTCAGGCGTATGAATCATGTGACGCGGGGGAGGTGAATGTTAAGAAGACGTTCACTTTTGGTGATGAGGTTCTGGCTCAGGTTTTGCATGCTGAGATGGACCACAAGCAGCAATTTGTTGTTGTGGGTGGATCTTTTGTCGTTGATGGCATGTTGGATGGGCGCACAGAGCTTGAAACACAAAGGTCGTCCAAATGGCAGGGCACTATATGCCGGGCGCGGCACTCCCCTTTTCACTGGAAGCGCAAGTGTCAACTTCTGCTGGCTACACAGAGTCAGGCTTGCTACGGTCAGGGTACACATTCCTTCCAATGGGAGGTTGAAACTCTTAAGGGCATGCGTAGTGATGTGATGAGGACATTATGGAGTCGCGACTTTTATAGCATGTCCCCATTGATCACGTTTGCAATCTTGGCGCCCCCTCAGCTCGATCCGACTTTTGGTCCTATTTATTTTGGCTTACGTACGGTGGCTCGGTGTATTCGGGATTCGGATTTCCGGGATGTACTTCGCCAGGAGTTCCAAAAGGATGCGTGGGTGGAGGGCCCTGCGGCGCGCTTGCGTTTGCTTGCGGACAGTCCTGTATTTCGGGAATTGATCAATGAGCTGGTGTACCGACCGGTCAATGAGCAGGAATGGGCGCACCGTCTCCGTATGGCATGGCGACAGTTTTTGGTGGCAAAAGTTATCAAAGACCGTCCACAGCATTATGGTGATATTCAAGATTTGGATTTCCGTCGCACTATGCTTCTGCATGAGCGTTGGGAGAGGGAAGCGAATGTTGTTTGCAGTGACGATGATCTTGAAGGAGCTTCCGCAACAGAGGTGGTCAGACAAAAGGTGGCTGTTCTTCGTCTTTTACTCGCGGGTGGTTTGATGACGGAGGAGCGCGACTATCGCCATAAACGGGTGCATCAGGATGCGAATTGTAGTGTCTGTGGGGTGTTGAAGACGGTGTGGCATGTATCCTGGGACTGCAAAGTTCACTCACATATTCGAGATCCTGTTGTTGCGAGTTTGCCATGCTCTGTGAATGCTCTTCCGGTGTGTACGCGCTATGCTGGCATTATACCTACCAGGTTGGTGATGGATGATGCGCAAGTGTGTGCCTTGCAGTCGATGTTGGTGGACATATGGCGGCGCAACATTGCAGAGTTTCATGATAAACAGCGGCACTATCAGACGGTGGTACATGCAGCTGTGCAGGAAGGGGGTGGACAGGATGGTGCTTTCCAGGAGAATGGGCATGCGATTCAAGCGCGGACTGAAGGGCGTCCTGGGGTATGGTGCCGCAAATGTGGTAAATTCGTCACGCGGTTAAAGCATGTCAAGCTGAAGATCACTGGGACGGTTTGTGCTCAAAAGGACTTGCCTGAGGCGGAATGGCTGGAGGCGGAAGGTTTCGCGCGTAGTTCTGCTCGTCTCAAGCAACTTCGTCGTGAGCTACAGTCTAAATACAACCGAGCCCGCCATGTATTACACTGGAACGAGCAAATTGGCAAGGAGGTTGGGGCACCGGATGAGGGGAAGTTGCACTGCTTTCGATGTGGTCGTGATTGGAAGTGGAAAGACAGGGCTAATATGCGTACCAGCGTTTGTCGTCCGCGAAGAAAACCTGCGGTTGGTACAAAGAAGCCGCGTTACAGGATTCGCAGGAAGACTCCGGCGCAGAGGGTGGTGTATCGTCAGTGTGCGGAAGTAGTTTCACCAGTACCTGAACTTGCACAGCCTTCATCGTCATCATCTTCGTCGTTTCACCTTTTCAGACGTGGAGTGGGATGAGTTTCGTCTCGCTTGTGCCCTGGGGCCGTATGCTCCACTTGCACAGGCAAACACCGACTTTTGGGATCCTTTAGGGCTCGCGTTATGGGGGGGGATATTGGGTGCATACATCCGGAACCGAGCATCTTTATGACAATCCCGACTTCTTCCGAAAGACGGAGCTCACTCCGACAGGGTATCGGGGCAAGAATTCAGGAAACACCTTCTTGTTCTGGACCACAAGACCTTGGCTTATATTGTGAATTATAGGGATACCTAATGAAGGGTGATCCTTACGAAACGGTTTCCTAACTCTGTAATCCTGAACCCTTAACCCTGTCGCTCCAAGCCAAAAGCTCTAAAGCCACCCTTAAACCCTGAATGCCAAAAGCCCCAAAATTCAATTCCCCACGCCGGTATATACTTCGGCCACGAATGGTTTTCTGCATACGCTAGAGTCGAAGTATGTCCTACGCTCAAAGTATGTCCCACAGACCTTAGTGTGAGAGATTGCCAAATGGAACAGGGCTTGCTACACCTGCCACCACCTCGAAACCTCAAGCTCAAACCAATGCGCCCCGAACCTCTAGACCCTAAGCTGTAAGACGCACAGAAGGCCACACAATTCTGAATAGCTATGCTAGTTACGCATCCTCTTAGTACTGGTAAGAATTGCCATGATAACAGCCAGGATCGCGTGCAAAGAGCTACAATGAGCTGCAATGACAACAAGCAGGACGTAGAAGTTCTACTTTATATATGGGTACTTGTCAAAATTATTGTTCCTTTTTCGGTACCCTAAATAAATATTAGGTGACGTATTATAATAAGGACCCAAAAGGGGACCATAATTTTGACAACCACCTATATCACTGCTAAGAGGTATGACTTCCTGAATTCGGATGCCTGGGACATTGACGGGTACATGGCCGGAGCCTCATGCTCTTGGGCTGTCAGCATGATGTCCTTAGACTAGTGCAGCCTATCGCCTCGTTGCTTCGAGGATCACGGACTGGGAGTTTTTAAGAAACCGCGATTAAGGGAATGGCGTTATAAGTAAAGTAGCTCTACTCATAAAACCCCAATCAAGGTACTCATAACCTTACTAAGTCCCATGTAAGGATATGTTCATATGGTTTTCTGGGGTTCTATTTGGTCAGGCGAAGCTTTCCTGGTTTGAGGCTCGAGTGGTTTGGGCCCTAGGCTCTTAGGGTTCGTGACTGTGGGTCCCTGATTCTGCAGAATTTGTAGTTTAATATATATAGTGTTTGGTATAGGGTTTTGGGGCTCATCATGGTTGAATTATAGTATATAAGGAGCCCCCAAAACAGTGTTGGTAAATTTGTAACTATTTCAGCCTGTTGCTGGCTTCTGGTTTGTGGATTTCTGGCAGAGGCTTCAGTCTTGAATATGCCTTCGAGCAGATTTTGTTTTGCCGCGGTCTGCGATATCGCACACCTTCGCCGTAAGACCCCAAACCAAAACCCCGAACCCTCAACACGTAGGATGCAGCTGTTCTGTGTATACGGGCGCTGACGCCACTGTGTTGTCATCAGGGTGTAGATGTACTTAAATATGCCCGTAATTGCTTCATGTGAACCCTGATCCCCCAACCCCAAGCTCTCTAACTTAACCCTGCACCCTAAAGCCTAGACATCCCTACAATACCCTTCCTCACTATCCTTTTTCCTAAACCCCTAAACCCCTAAAAACCAATAAACCTCCGAGCCCAATAAATCCTAAAGCCCTAAACCCTTAAACCCCCAGACCCCTTATAAACCCTGAAGCCCTAATCTAGGTAGGGCTTTGGGACATTTTATATTTTCCCTTATTGGGCTTAAGAGGATCTTATTTACTAATATTTTTCAAAGGCTCTAAAAGCCCCGCCTAGTAAAGCCCTAAACTCTCCGAGACGCTTCTACAAGAAGCTGCCGACTCCTACGACTGGCAGCGGGCCACATCCCTCCTGCAGGCTTCCCTCGCTCCAATCAAGGGAACTCCAGAAAGTTGGAATATGGATTAATGGTAGGATCCCCTATAATTTACCTTAAAGGGGCTACGATAATGATATTCCAACTTTCTGGCTTCTACTGTATGCCTTTAGAGGGATATGTAGGGGTTCCTAAAAGGGATTTATAGGGTTTGGGGTTTGGGGTACCCTGAGACTCCAAAATGTGTCTTGATTAAGTAACATACCTTAATTAAGTTATAGTAGGATCCCTAATATGACTCTTGGAATAGTCTTATATTCAGGGATCTTAGAACCCTTGCACCAAAACCCGGCAGGTCCCGTGAAGGAGGCCGAGGTATTCCTTCGTTAGGGGAAATCGGAGTCCCCCGAGACGTGCAGCGGAAACCCTAAAGCGCAATGTCGGGTTCAGGAGCTTTGGTTTTGGGGGTTTGGGGCTTCGAGGTTTCGGGTTTAGGGGTTTAGGGGTCTGGGGGTTTAGGATTTTAGGGTTTTTGGGGTTTGGGGGTTTAGGGGTTTAGGACTGAATTCGTGTTTAGAGCCAGGACATGACTCAATAAATTCGATCCCCGCAAGCCAAGGCCTGAAACACGAAACCCGAAGCCCAAACCCTGAACCTTGCCATGCGATAGCTCTAAGTTAAACCCAAGCTCCGTCCCTATTTATGGGTCCTCGCATGCAGCATTTCTTTATGGCAATAAGAACCTATACAAGGGGCGCTTTGCATTCGTAATTATACGGACAGGGTGCATGGACGCTCAGGGTATTCTAGCAGAGCTACTGCTTTGTTTTTGATCGCCACACACTTGCCATAGCCAAGGGGCACAACTCCGTTCAAACCAGACGGTTGGGGATTGCCGATCCGTATGCCCCGCCATGGAGAAAGACCTAAAGCAATCCCGATTCCTGAAGCACGCAACCCCCAACCTGTCAGCTCCCAAACATGGACTCGCGTTTCTATCAAGTTACACCACCAAGAAGCCGAGCCTAAACCCTAGGCCCTAGGCCCTAAACTCTTCTGCCAGGAGATGAGAAGTTATGGCGTGCAGCCAGATGTTGGGTGCTACGCGCTCGCCCTAGTCGCTTGCAAGCGAGGCGGGTTCGGGCCAGGAGCTAAACTACGGGTCCCTTATCTGTGCATCCATTTAGCCTAGTTATTCCACAGTTGGGATCTCCCTCTCTCTCTACATGCACACACACACACACACAGACACACACTCTCTCTCTGTCGCGCTCTCTCTCTCTCTCTCTCTCTCTTTCTCTCTCTCTCTCTCTCTCTCTCTCTCTCTCTCTCTCTCTCTCTCTCTCTCTCTCTCTCTCTCTCTCTCTCTCTCTCTCTATCTATATATGTATATGTACATATATATCTATCTGTCTATCTATATATATATATATATGTATGCACACATACTATGTGCAAAAGGGTCTTGCATCTGGCGACAGGGCCAAGCCGTGGTCCAGGTTTGGGCATAATCTTTAAGGTGAGTAAGATTAAGGGCTCTTCAGGGGGTAAGGGGATGGGGAGGGGTAGTGTCTTCATATCCCCAATAACCTGATACTTGTGTGACAACCTTAACACCCCCTCAGGGTCCCTATGATATGATCAAGAAAGTTTACGTCCTTCTGACTAGATCCAACCCACACTGTTTTGCCTCAGGGCTCCTTGAATCACCGAAATGAGCGTATAATGCCATTGTTACGGAACCTTGCGGAACTCTACCCAGAGGGCCCATAGTAGTTCCTTTTTGGGATTACATTATAGGATTCTAGATACGAACCCCAAAAAGGAGCTACGTTGGGGCCTTTGGGTAGACCCTAAGCCGTCAATCTAGGGGTCTGCAAGTTCAGTTGGGCTTCAGACGCTGGGGAGTTGTACGGCTGAACTTCGGAAGTGGGGCGGAGCTTGAACGCCGGAAAGTAGGTATAAACGGACACACAAGCAGCAATGTTACTGTCCTCGAAGATGACAACGACGACTGTGATGATGATTCTGATGATGATGATGACGATGACCTTGAGCAAGACTTTATAACATCTGTTTCGTATTTATGGCTTGATGAGAGGGAAGTTGACATGAGCAGTCAAGGACATCAGTTTTTAGGGTCGAAGGTTTCAGGTGTACTATAGAGGTTGGAATGCTTGGTAGTATTATTCACTAGGGTTGCTTAGTATAACTGTTGAATGTACCCAAGACCATACTATGATTATTGATGCCGCTGTACAAGGGGAGTGGCCTTCAAGGCATCGGGTTTCTGGACAGAGGTTTCAGGGATTAGAGCTTGTGGTCTATGGTCTAGGGCGTAGGGTTTAGCGTTCAGGGTTAAGGGCTGTTCGGCGGAATGCGAGGAGATCAGCAAAAATGGATTTTGATCAGAAGCCCAGGAGTGCAGCGTCTCAAAAGCCATTGCACGTTGGCTGGCAGCCCAGACGAGCGAGGAGCAGCTGTCGAAGGACAAAGCCAGCAAGGGCAAGAAGAACAAAGTGAGTGGCATAGCCGCTATGTTGAGTCAGAAAAAGCAGCAGCCGCGGAGAAGGACGCGCAGGAGTCGGAATCGGTCAGCGAATCCGAAGGGATATCCGGGGATGAGAGGCCAAGCGGAATACACCGTACTGTCTATCCTTGGCCGACTAGGCAGATCACTGCGGGTCTCCGCCTGGGTGCGAACACGGTCCGGCAGCTCGAGCGCAGTGCCGAGAGCTTACCCTAAACTACCCTAAATACTAAGCCCTAGACCCTAAACCGCCCCTGTACTACAAACCCTAAGCCCTAAACGCTCCTACATCACAAACCCTATGCCCTAAACCCTAAAACCTAAATGCTAAGCACTAAACCCTAAACCGCCCCAATATTTCAAACCCTAGGCCCTAAGAACCCTAAACCCCTAAACCCCTAAACCCTAAACCCTAGACCCTAAACCCTAAACCTTAAGCCGTAAACGCAATAAACACTAAACCCCAAAGCAGCCACGGAGTTTCCACGTGGAGGCGCTGCCGGGCACAAGGCTTTCGAGCTCATCGACGAGATGTGGAAAAAAGAGTCGGGCGACCAAGCAATCGGTTTATATAGGGTTAGGTTTCTACAGGGTTTGGGCATGGCTGGTAGTTTGTTTAGGCGTAGCTGGTGTAGCTGGTTCTAGGGCTAGGGCAATTTGTTTTTGTTTAATAGGTTTCTTTGACCGGGTTTTGGGTTGTAGCGGTGTGTTTTGTGCTTTCATTCGCCTGCCCACACCCCCCGGGAGGATCAAGACAGCAGATCCCCTAATTTGGGGCCCTGTACTGCTAACAACGTGCTAACAACGATGGCATTAAAGTGAGCACCATAGTCTTGTCGGATAGTAGAGAATAGCATGAATAGTAGAACTAGTGCTACTGACAATACTGACTAACAAGAATATCATATCAAGAACCGGAGTAGTAGTAGTAGTAGTAGTAGTAGTAGTAGTAGTAGTAGTAGTAGTAGTAGTAGTAGTAGTAGTAGTAACACTATCACAGCGCGGAGGCTGGAGCCGACTCCAGGTTGCTATGCAGAAGCCATCGCTGCCTGCACTGAGGCCCGGGGGTAGGAGATGAAAACAACACGGTAGGGGTTTAGGGGTTTAGTGGTTTAGGTTTAGGGTTTCGGGTTTAGGCTTCAGGGTTTAGGGTTTAGGCTTCAGGGTTTAGGGTTTAGGCTTCAGGGTTTAGGGGTTAGGGGTTTAGGGTTCTGGAGTGCCACTGGAGTGCCATGCGGTAATACCGTGTTTCGAACCGGTTCCTTAAAGGCACCATTATGACATGAAAGTCTAGACAAAGTCCCGTGTAGGGAAGAGCATTGGGGCTTTAGGTGGGTTTGCAAGAAGAGGGTTTTGGAGGGTGTTTGACTGAGGGTTGTAGGGGCTTGGCACTGGCCTTTAGAGGCTTGCTCTGTGCTCTACACCCTAAACCCTAAATCCTACAGTAAACCCTAAACCCTTTTTCATGGGGTGCTCGTTTTTTTTTACAGGGTTTCACAGAACTTTCGGGTCCTCAAAGCTTCAATACCTATGGCCCCAATACGGTTTTGGGTAGTTCAGGTTCTGGCTTTAATCAGGGGACAGGATTTTGTGATTGATGGGGTGGAATGCTAACAAGCCTATACCCTAAGCCCAAAATCCCCAAACCCCAAACCCATAAAACCTAGCCCTAAATCCTAACCCTGGTGAAATGCAAGATGAGCCTAAGAGCAGAGAGGGCACTGCCCGCAGCCTTAAAAGCCTGTGACCCGTAAAAGCCTTTGCAAAGCTATAGTCCTAAACCCTTTCAAGCATAGTGACCCTATAGAGGGACGAAGGAAGCTGCTGAAATGGCTTCGAACCATCGAATGGAAGAGGTTTCGGTGTTTGGTGTCTGGGGTTTAGGGTTTACAGGGCTTAGGGTTTGCAAGGATATGTCATGTACGTATAACGTTCATTGCAGTTTCTTGTTTTGGGGTTACCTTGTATAGGATCCTAAATATACAATTGGTTCTACCAAGAAAGTAATTTCAATGGAAACTATAGGTAGAGGCCGGAATCATCACCAACACTACTTCCTAGGGTTCCTGATTGTAGCTCGATTGTGCCCCGGAGCCCAATTCCACTTCTGAAGGCCTCTCTATTGCAGCTTCCGTGTTGGGCTGATGCTAGGAGGGGAAGTCAATAGACGGGGGAAGCCCGAGATACAATCCGACCCTCAACAAGTCTCGAAACCCTTGTGAGCCTGGGTTTAGGCTATGATACAGATAAAGAGGGCCCGCAGTAGTAGCCCTATTATGGACTGTTACTAGGGGCAGTGCCCAAGGTTGAGGCTTTAGGGTTTGAGGGTTTTTGGGTTCAGGGCTTAGGGCGCTTCACGCCCTAAACCCTGCGCAGGCTCCCAAAATCCTAACACCCAAAGTCCCCCCCCCTTGAAAGACTGACACAATTGTCAGGAAGGTTGCGAAGACGAAGCGGAACAGCTGCCCCAGCCTGAGCATCGTCTGAGCTTCACGGTACATATTCGGTTCCGGTGTCTTTGGATCAGCTGCGACATCGTCTACTATTTATTGCCTTCCTGTTGCATGCCCCATGCAACTCGAGCAAGGTATAACCCAATTATTGCAAACAAAAGCCTAAGCCCTAAACCAAGCCAGCCAGCAGCCCCAAATCACTTTAGGCTCTCACCACAGCTGTTTGTCAACATAAGTCAGCACCTGCAAGGACAATAATGTAATCGTTCAGGATTTAGGACCACAAGAGCCCGAAAGATGCCCAAACCCACAAAACCCTCACCCAAGCCCTAAATCCTAAAGCCTAAGAGAGCTGCCTGAAGCCAAACCCAATATCCCTGAGCTCTAGCAGTTGAAATATGCATGTGTGGGGCTTCAGCGTGCCCAGTGCGCAACGTGCATCAACACACAGAGGATTCACCACGCAGCGGGCATGCGTTGTTCAGAGGCCTTCCCAGGAATTTTGCTCGCGGCTGGCAAGGATTCTACAAGGCATATTGAAGTTGCTTGTGGACAGGGTCATGGTCTTCTGCGGGGCGTGGCAATGCCTTGGGCCGACTGGTCAAAGAAGACTTCCCGGAGGCCGCATACACGAAGTGGGTCACACTTCTCAAGGCCATAGCGAAACAAGACCGAGATGATTTCGCTTTGGCAGCACGTGCGCACCTCCGCGTGTTCGCCCCGCACCTGCCAGTGGACATCGTCATTGACCCCGTAGGTGACAGCTAAGGAGGTGAGTTTGCCTGGAGTCTCATTTTTGCAGCAGAAGTGTTCGATGCCTCCCTTCTGGGCAGATCCTCCACTCTCTGGATTGATTTCGAATGCAAAGAGGGCCTGCCAGATCAAGAAGATGGGCAAGCAGCAGGCTAGGCAAAGGCCAAGGCAACTGTGTGCAAGGCGAAGGCTCTGGTCCCGGACGACTGGGAAAGATGTCTGCAGCCATCGACACGCGTGTGTTAAAATGATTCTGCTCTAAAAATCAACACCATGTAGACCGATAGTGCGTTCTACTTAAACCACCCTAAAGTCTTACTACCCAGACTAAATCCTGAAGCAGTCCCCTTCTGCTGGACCCCCTAAACCCCAAACTCCAAACCCCTGGAAGCCCTAAGCCCCAAACCTACCCTAAACCCTAAATCCTAAACCCCCAAACCCCCAGAAACTCCCCCTAAACGCCAAACCCCGAAACCCTGTAAGCCCCAAACCTGCTACCCTAAACCCTAAACCCAGCGTGTTCTTTGCCCCTCAAGGCGAGCTGAGCTCCGCAACATGGGCCCCGCGCAGCAGGCGGCCGAAGAACGAACGCTGGCGGCGGTTTCCATCAGGTTTAGGGTTTGGGAGTTCAGGGTTCAGGGGAGCTTTGCAAGTAGATGCCGAATAGAGGTAACCGCGCATAGAACTCTTGCAGAATCCTTGTTCAACACCTGCGGGACCCTTTGAGGAACCCTTGTCAGTAGGAACCCCGGTAGGGACCCCCTAAGGAACCTTACAGCCGTATAGCTGAACCCTGAAGCCTGCGAAGCCGTCTCGAGCCCAACGGGCAGGCACACCACAACAGTGGGGTGTCTGTGGTTTCTGGCGGGCCTACAGCGCAGTAGTGCATAGTACTAGTATACACTTCCTGAGGCCTACCATCAAGAAGAACTAAGCCCTAAGCCCTAAACCCGAAACCCTAAGCAACAATAAACCCTAAACCCTACACCCTAAACCTGAAACCTTAAACCCCAAACCCTAAACCTTAAACCCTGCAGCTTCTAAACCCAAACACTGCACCCCTGAAGCCGAGGAACTCTGAGCTCATCGGAAAGGGGCCCCGAAACAAGCAAGGAGCCAACAACCCTCACATTCAATACCATTGTGCAATTATTTATACACACTAGCTGTCTATCTATGTCTCTCTCTGTACACGTTAACTAACATATATATATATATATATATACTGATTGTATGTGTATATACACATACATAGACACATATACATACTCACGCATCGTAAAACTAGGTGGGTGCGTCGTTTCCCACAGGTCGAGCGCTTCCAGCTGGTCCCAAGGCAGCGGGCAAAGACTCCATCACACTGTGTGTGGGTTCACGGTTCAGGGTTTAAGCTCGAGGGTTTGGGCTTGAGGGTTTAGGCTTGAGGGTTTAGGGTTGAGGGCTTAGGCTTAGGATGTAGGGTTTAGGGTTAAAGGTTTAGGGTTTATGTACCCTTTGAGGATGTTGTACGAAGTTGGCTGGTTAGGTTTACGGTTTCAGGGGAGGCGGGGGTTAAGGTCAGGTTTGCAGTGCGTTTCAGACGATGTGTAGGAAGTTGGTGGACTTATCTGCTGAGGTTGTTCATAGGGGATTGTGGATACGGCCTTAGGGGTTTCTAGCATATGTGGTGTGTCATAGGTTTTTGTGGGCTTTTGCTTTGGGTGTCGGGCGTTTCAGGGTTTTGTAGACCCACAAAGCACAAAGTCTACAAACCACCAAAATTCAAGACCTTGACTAAACTACCTTTTAAACCCTAAAGAAACATGCCCCTTGCCACCCTCGGCTGTTTACACCGCCAGGATCGGCTGGGGCAAGGAGGTTGCGATGATGGGCCCAGCCCTCGGAATCTAGGGTACAGAAGGCTTCGTAATAGAGTTCATACTGATAGCTAGTAGAGTTCATGAGCGGTTGGAAAACGGGCTTCTGCCACGGCACTACTCCTAGTAGGGTTGGTTAAGGGGCTCTGCTGGTTGTTGTTACGGGCTTAGGCCTTAGGCTTTGGGTCTATGGTTCCAGGTCAGCCTTGCACGGGGTGTTCAGCGAGCAGTACACCTTAAACTGTAGCTGCGGTAGTGTTGAGGGTTGAGGGTTCAGGGTTTGGGATTGAGGGTTTAGCTTTGAGGGTTGAAGGGTAAGGGTTGAGAGTTTAGGGTCGAGGCTTTAGTGGTCAGGGATGAGGAGGGCTGGGGTTTAGGGTTTAGGGTTTAGGGTTTTGGGATTTGTCTGGGAAAAGCACGCGATCAAGCGTCTCAACCGCCACAAACACGTTCGAGGGCCCTCAAAATCTGGCAATAGTATACCTTTAAGCTCTCTGGGTTCCTTCACGTCATCTTTATGCACGACACACGTATTGTATATGTGTATGTATGTTTGTATGTATGTACGTACGTATTTCCATTGGTACATATATACACATATATATATGTATATATGTATATATGTATATATGTATATATGTATATATGTATATATGTATATATGTATATATATATATATATATGTATATGTATATGTATATGTCTATGTCTATGTCTATGTCTATGTCTATGTATATGTATATGTGTATGTGTATGTATATGTATATGTATATGTATATGTATATGTATATGTATATGTATATGTATATGTATATGTATATGTATATGTATATGTATATGTATATGTATATGTATATGTATATGTATATGTATATATATGAACACACAGGCAGAGGCATGCACATAGTAGAACCGCTGCAAGCCGTAGTCCAATCGTTTTCCTCCATGCACATCCTCGAAGACTCAAGACTGAAGCTGCGAAGATCTTAGAGGCATTGCGTTGGGTTTGGGGCGTAGAGGTTAGGGCTAGCAGTTTTGGGCTTGGGATGCTCAGGGTTCACGGGAATCGCGCTGCCTGGGTAGCTGCCCTGCAGATCCTTCGTTCTCACCGCAAGGTTGTGGAGCCCACAATTCTATTGGCTGGGACGGCAAAGGTGCACTCCCGCATCCTGACTGCATTTTCGGGACTTGAACCTTAGAACATAAACATGAAAAAACAGTAGCAGTGACCATGCGCGATCTCCGGGTTGCATGTGGTGTTCGGTCACGTACGGCCTTGCAGACCGGAATTCAGGGAAGAGGCTCAAAATGCTCGAGGTTTGGGGGTTTGTTTGGACGGCGTTTTGGGTTGAGAGGTTTTGATTTCTAGATCTTCGGACTAACGTAGGCTAGTGGGGTGTACGTCCAAAACCCTTAATGTGTGTTTACTCGGGCTTGGCTTCGGATGGAAGCTAAAAGCCTTAAGCCTTTGTTATTCAAGCAGCACCCGTCAATTTCACATGGCCTACATCATCCCAGCTGAAGTCAAAAGCCTAAACCCTAAAGCCGAAATCCCATATATACCTTGATTCCTAAATTCCGCCGACGCGAGGATGCTCGAAAAGGAAGGATGCACTTTGAACAAACAATAAAGAAAACTCCCACCGTAGCTTAACAATAAACTACCATATGAACATCCTGAAACCCGGGAACCCAAATTCGCCTGACTTCGACCAGTGGAGAGTCTGTAAGTAGCTTCGTAGAACCACAGAAGCTGCTTGGCAGCACATTTAGGAACCCTTGCAAAAGTAACCCTTGTAGAAGCCTTATTGGAAGTCTTGTAGTTGCCCTGATAGTACCCATCGCAGACTCTTTCAGATATAACCTCGCGAATAATTACAGGTTTCGAGGTCGAGGATGTGGTGGTGTGAGAGGGGAGGCATATAGTGCCCAAAATCTATATTCAGACTTCCGCCGCATAACCTTTCGATGTTTAATAGTGATGGCTATTGGGGTTCAATCTTCGTTCTCGGTGTTCGATGGAAATCTCAGTGTTGGGGAGGTTAGTGATGTCGTGATCTGGCGGTCGGAAATCATATTGCTGGGTTCGGTCGTAAGTTTCGCAAAACCGCAGACCCTGTGAGTTTCCAAGGTATCCAAGCCAGTCATGCTGGCCGGCGACTTAGAGCACGGCTTCTTCTTGGACACATTTAGAAACCTTCTGCCCCTAAGCCCAAGTTCTAAACACCGAAATCCCTCAACCCCTAAGCAACCAACCCTTAAATCCCTACACCCTATAAGGCCGGAACCTTATACTCTTATCCCTACACCCTAAATCGTGAGACTTGAGGCTTGGGGGTTGCTCCATGCTTTGTCGGATGTGGATCCTGGGCTCTCAAACTTGCCACCACGAGTGTTAAGCCTAAGCCACCGAACCTCAAAAACAAAAGGCAACATCGTAGGCGCGATTTGGAGACATTCGAAAAGAACACCGAAGCTGAACGGTCCTTCCACGAGACGAGGCAAAACACACAAGAGCGCTTCAATAGATTAAAAACCCAAGCGAGATGAAGAGGAGCAGCAAATCCTTTGCGACCAACATCTCGCAGAAGCTACGGCCAGGGCCGAGCATAATGTGAAAGGGGAGTAGCAGAAGATTCGCCGGTGCTCTTGCATGGTCTTGCTGGGTGATCTGTGGAGGTGCTCCGTGGCCGGACAGCATCGCAATGGGGCACAGCTGTGCTTCACTGCGGGCTGGGTGGCAGCTGGTTATATTAATCATAAGGCGCTCAAGATGAGCGCTTCAACAGACAAGGCCATGAGTGATGTCCGCGATGCTTGCGGTAGCTTGGTTGCTAATCACTTCAAGCTCAAGCTTGCAACAACAAGCTACAGCACGTGCTCCCTCTTCCTTGGCGACCTTGACTTTGACCTCTACCCCGAGACCGCTAAAGTCTGGTGCCGCTTAGGGATGAACCGAGATCGACGATGGCCAGCTTGTTGTCGGGTCATTGCTGACGACAACACGGCTCAGAGTGCCGACCACACACCAGCCACGGCAACACTAGCGGGAGCTCAAGTTTGTGCTACCGAGCTGGGTCCGCTTATCAATTGAAATGCACCGGCTTTGTGGCAACGTGAGCATGATCTCAAGAATACAGGACCCTAAACCCCTAAACC